TATTCATCAGAAATATGGGGTTTTGAAAACACAAATATTATAGAAAAAATCCATCTTCAATTTTGTAAATATATACTAAATGTAAGAAAAAGTACACCAAATTTCATTGTTTATGGTGAGCTTGGAAGATACCCACTAGACATCGAAATTAAATGTAGAATAATAGTATTCTGGCATAAGTTGATTACCTCTAGTAAGTTATCAAGTACTATTTATAAGCTTATGTATACATTACATGAAAATGGAACTATGTTATTTAAATGGCTCGCATATGTTAAAGATATTTTTTCTCAAACTGGCCTGAACTATGTGTGGTACTATCAATCTACATGTTCTTTTTCAAAAGACGAAATTAAGAGGCTTGTGAAAAGTAGACTGAAGGATCAATTTATACAGAAATGGTTTGATAATATTCTTAACTCCTCTAGAGGACAAACATATTCAATATTAAAGACAAAGTTTGAACAAGAAAAATATTTAATTAAACTTAATACAAATGATAGGAAAATAATGTGTAAATTCCGTTCTTGCAATATGCATTTACCCATAGAAAAAGGAAGATGGTTAGGTATTCCTCGTCAAGAAAGAACCTGTACATTATGTAATTTGTACATTGGAGATGAATTTCATTACTTATTTATATGTGAAAGTGTTTTAGTTAAATGTCTAAGAGAGAAATATATACCAAAATATTATTTCACTTATCCAAGTCAATTAAAAATGCAAGGATTGTTTAATATATTTAATGTAAAAATTCACACAAAACTTTGTAAATTCATAGAAAAGCTTGAAAAAATATTAACTTAATTTCTGTACTATTTGTGTACTTCTATATGTATCTATGCTATGTACAATGCTGTAATTGTGTACATCACACGCCATGTATCATACTTACTATATGTATGTGACCTCTTGTTACACACGTAAGTGTGTCGGAGTGAATAAATAAAGCTTAGAAACTTAGAAACAACAAAAATCTTTCTTCACAAGCGTATACACTGGCTGCCACAGCTCGAATGACACTACACCTGTACACCTTGTACAGCTCACCTGAACCCTCAGGTAAATCACGCACTCCCCGTGGTACACGGGCCACTCAGGCCACTGTGTATTACCATACTACGCCCCGCCCCTTTACACACGACCACACACACACACATCTGTGTGTCGCAACAACCATCAGTGATATCTCGTAATATTGATAAATATAATTACTTGGAGTAGAGAGAGATATAAACAGGTGATTTATTTCTGCAATGATAAGAGATTTAGGAACAGTTATTCTCCCTATAGGTATTACAATTCTTCTTGACCATTGATGTAACTTGCCATCTATAATACTAAATAATTTTGCTGAAATTTACAGTAACCATGTCTTCTAAATTGACAGAGAAATCAATCCCAAGTAAGGTAAATTTGGTTGTTCCCCATTTTAGTGTCCACCTTCGATGGTATACATCAGCACTAAAGTTTTTGCTCCTTTCCAACTGACCTTTGTTTTTTCAGTATTTACTTTTAACCCTGATATTTTAGCATATTTAATATATAAAGATTTTGTGCCATTTACAATAAAGGATGTGTCATCAGCGAACTGTGAGAGCCCATGTTCTTTATTATTTATGTGTATGCCCTTCAATTTTTTTTTACCATGATAGCTAATATTTCAGCTACCAAAAGAAATAAGTAAGATGATTCCGGATCACCTTGTCTACAGCCCCTTTTTATGTCTACAAAGTTGGATAAAAAAACCATTCTGTATTATAGCCGAGGAAGTATTTGTATTAAAACATAACAGATAATAATATCAAACTGAAGTCACACAATTTAAACACAATCCATAGAAATCTGAAAATAAGTTCAAGTTTAACTAATATATGACAATAAATATATGACTGATTCTGAAAACTGTTCTAAATATTAATTATTATCTTGCAATTATTAGCAGTTATTGATTATCTGATTACTTATATCAGAAGGTGATTTACCTGTGCAATGTACCTGTACACCATTTCTGCAATAGACTATAACTCACTATCATCACAACTGGCCACCTATATGTAAGCATGTGACTTTAAGCAGAGTTGGTGTTCAGGGAAGACCGCCATATATCTTACCAGTAGTCATTTGCTTAGAAAACCAAAACTGTAAGTATTTATTAGTAGCTTACCGGCGTAGAAGCAATGCGGTTTTAGAAAAAATAGTATTATTGTTTTTTGAATAAAAGGGAAAATGAAATATCAAAGAAATTTTCAAATGAAAAAAAGCTACTTTCAGGAGTTTGAAAACTTTGGGAATAAACGGAAATATGGATGCATGGCTTAGAATCATTTTAAGAGACAACATTTTTGAGGTGAGAATTGGCAATGCCCTCTAACAGGTATCCAGGCATCAGTTTCTTAAACGTTTCATTATCTTAGGAAATATCCCATGTTTTTCCATATGATAGCATTATTACGAAATCTAGTAAAAGACATTTTCCTTAAATTTAGTATTGCTTTACTAACATAAGAGAAACTTAAGTAAAGGACTTTCCTTAATTGATGGATGTTCATAAAACGTGTGGCTATGAGAATGGTACCCTATAGGGGAGCTGTATCTGCCCCACACTTTGCAATATCTCGATAAGTTACATCACGTCAGATCTAGACCAAAAAAAGCAAATACGTCACAGTATGCAAATTAGAGTGATACATGTATCTATATTCTAAGTCCAGTCGTTATGTAAAAAGCATATAAAACTGTATCCTCCGAGATAGTCAAGATCGAACACTAATGACAAACGTGGGGCTTTAAAGTATAAACCGTACCAATTAAAAAACTATTAAGATTAAATTTAAACAAGGCACATTTGTAATACGGATATTTATTTATTTATTTATTTCCAATTCAACAGATCCAAGGGTCCACTTACAGAATGGATAACAACATTATAACACAAGTATAAAATATCACAGTCAGGTATGCATGTAACACAGACTAAAACATACTCATATGTAAAACAAAAGGAATTAGTGATAGCAAATATTCTTTAACCGTACTTTGAACTAGGAGAGAGGAAGGAACAAAATATATCACAGTCTGGTGCAAAATCAAGATAGTTAAAATTACATTGAATCCTGTTTAAAATACTATACTTTCTAACGTTTATTCTACTTCTCTGGCAGTAAAACTGGTTAAAACGAATTGATCGTAGATTACGACCAGGGACTAAAAACCACATTTGCTTGACTAAATATGGACAATCGAAAGCACTATTAACACATTTGTAAAGAAATACACAGTCTAAACGCCACTATTACTGATTTAAAAAGGATTAATACATTATTATGTATGTATTTGGACTGGGGGGCTTACACTGACGGGCAGATGCCGCCTCAGTCTTCTACGGAAGAGCATTAGGGCCATGTCGATTTTTATTTTCGTTTTTTCGTGTTAATAACTCGAAATTTCAAGATAGTAACTCGAAATTTCGACTTACTTACTCGTAACTTTAAGATAATAACTCGAAATTTGAAGATAATAACTCGAAATTTGAAGATAATAATAACTGTTAAAACCAGAATCTGTTCAATCTGGATCTTTGTTTAAACCGGCAAACGTATGCGGTCTTTAATTCTATAGCTTTATTGATTAATTTTCGAACTCATTCAGTAAACCGGCTCTGTTTCCTTGTCTTATACCTTCTTAACATTAATAAATATACTCTTTGTGAACTGGCAACACAACACGTTCTAGTCTAGTACAACGCTTATTACTAGACAGGAAAGTTATCAGTTGACCAATCATTTTCAACTCTCCCAGATATCATAATACATTATCTTTGTGATTTTTTTTTTGATATCGATGGCGATAATTGAAATGATAAACGCATATTTCTTGTGAATATCATATTTTTCCCATATAATTTTTGTTGGTGAAAGTTGAAAATGTAGTAGAACTAAAACAGAAAGTGATGTAAATTAAAAGAAAGAATGTTAAATACTGTACATGTATGTAGAGAGTATTATACCGGGACACAAAGCTGGCTTATTAGTCCGGAGTTTAATCAATGATGTAAAATAGCTAAAGTCCAAATAATTTGGCCGGTTTACACAATGATCTGGATTGGGCAGAATCTGGTTTAAATAACATCCAAAGTATATCAAACTGTGTTAAATTATTAAGCTTTCATATATTTTCAAATTTCCAAGATTGCACCAAAGTGCTTCTAGAATTCAATCATAGGTCGTTTGACCCTTCTATGCATTGACCATGCATGCTCAAATTAAAGAAAAAATACAAAATGAAATATTCATTTATTTGTATTCCTACAGCTTCGGGAGGAATAGCCTCCTCCCGCCGTTGCTTCGCCCCTGACCTAAACGCCAGGTCGCCCCACTATATGAAAATCCTTATCTTGAAATTTCGAATATTATCTGGAAATTTCGAGTTATCAAATCGAAATTGCGAGTTATTTTTTTGAAATTTCGAGTTATCATTTTGAAATTTTGAGTTATTATCTCGAAATTTCGAGTAAGTCGAAATATCGAGTTATCATCTCGAAATTTCAAGACAATAACTCAAAATTTCGAGTTATTATCTTGAAATTTCGAGTTAGTAAGTCGAACTTTTGGGTTATTATCTTGAAATTCCGAGTAATTAACGCGAAACAACGAAATTGTTGTCTTTAATTAAAGAATTTTTCTTTTCTCAAAGTGACCTTTCTCTTGAGATTTTTTCTTTAATTTCAATTATTATCTTACATTTTTGTTTTCTTTTTTCTTTCATTTTCGACATTGTATCAATTAATTTTCAGGCATTTAACTTTCAGAAAAAGTTCGCTCATTTGTGCTTAACAAGTGCTAAACGTTACAGTTTTCGTCATACATGTATATATGTTCCCTCATCGCAATTTTTTTGTCTTTTTACATAATTTTTACTTTGAAAGCAAAATCAGATAATAAAAGAATGGTTAGGGACTCCATATTTCGCACAGATATAGGGATATTTCACTGTTATTTCAGACATTTTATGTTATTCATATTCATCTATTTTTCTTCATACTTCAAAAATAAGGTGACACTTTTCAGTGTTTAGAAGATGTACGTTACATTTTAAGGTTTTGACCATATATATCATACCAAACGTTATCTAAGAAAGTGTGTAGTTTAAAACACCGGAAAATCTCATATCTTTAATAAGATTTATCAGTTTTGAAATATGCGATATCAAAGTTTTACTTTCTACACAAACAATGTACGTATTAAACGTGTCGCAACGTTTCAGGACCGACTGGTCCCTTTATCAAGCTATTACTGAGTGAGCGATTTGTATTATTTGTATTAAATCTCAGGTGAATGTTTAGGTGAAAATTGCAGCCTTTATATGAAACAGTATATAATTGACCTCCCATTGATTCCTAAAACAACACCTGCCTATTGTTGTTAAATGTGTTGGCACTCAGAGAACACCCCATAGGTACATGTGAGAGTGATGATTCGTTTACTATTTCAATTACTAGACGCTTTTCGGACTGTATTCGGTCCTTCAGAACCTTTTCAACCTCACCTAGACGTTCTATCACAGTGTGCATTGCTTTGTTTAGGATCCCAGTATCACAGTGTGCATTGCTTTGTTTAGGATCCCAGTATCACCCGATGTCATCAGGTTGTGTGTGGTAATAGAGGGGTCGTTTGTTACGTTGTTTGTAATTTGTCTATTGGTCAACATTTCTTTCAATCTGGTGTCCTCCTCTGAAGCCTAGCCAATTCCTTTAGTAAACACGGTAGATATTTCCGTTCCATCACCACAAATAAACATTTGTATAATATGACAGTCCCTTGCATACTTTTCAGATTTTGAGCTAACTTGGGAAGATTTTCCGGTAATTAGTTTACGGTAAGGACAGTTCCTGATACTAGATGCTCTTTTAGACAGCATTTACCTTGGCCACGTTATAACATTGTCATCATAGCTCGTGAGTGACAACAACATAGCT